AGCTGTCTTGATGTAAGCATGCGACTCAATTCTATTGTTGTTGAATATCTAGTGGCTATTATCTGAATTCTAAGATCCAATATGTATGTCTGCCGAAAAATATTGAATTTAGTCTTTCTAAAGATAAAATTGTTGCATTTTAATGTTTTTAAAGGTATCTAAGGCTGCAGATTTTCTTTTGACACGTAATTAATCAATAAAGCAGTTTAATATTTTAGATAGATTTGTTATTCGCTAGTGCAATCAAATGGTCTTGCTAAGTATGTTTATAACAGGTTATATTTGAAAAGTTGGAACTTGGCGTTAGTATACATATTTTATGCACTACTACAATAACAAAGAGAATTATTAGGTTTATGCTACAGACTTGTCTGACAAGCATGTGAGCTATTGGCATTAGTTAATAGTTCGTTTTGACAAGTTTCTGCACTATGATTTGCTAGTCTAGTATACTCCTAATTGTCAGCAAATTGTTGTGGTTGATACGCAGGCCATCTTATGGAGAAGATTGAGTCTGAAAATTTGCTACATAGGGCTTTCAGTGTTTTCTTGTTCAATTCAAAATATGAATTGCTTCTTCAGGTGCATATACATACATAATACTCCCTCTGTCCCTTAAAAGGAGTCATATTTCTCTAATACACAACTTTTAAATGTTGCTGAGGTACAACTAATGAAAAGCATCAAATATCAAATATAGTCGTATTTCCAAATTTATTTGCTAATTTAACTAAAGTTAACATATTAATTTGTTTGGCATACATTTTTTTATTAAAAAAACATTTGGTATGATGGAAGTTCATATATCTTTTTTTCAAATTCTGACTCTTTTCATAGGATAAAAAAATAATGAGAAACATGACTGTTTTTGTGGGATGGAGAGTGAGTATATTTTATCAATGGCTCCTAGAAAATGCACGTGCAACTAGTTTGCTTGGCATATACCTTCTTTCATTCGTAAGGCACTAAGGCATGTGATGAATGTTCTGATATGTGTGATGTTTGCAGCAACGGTCTTCAACAAAAGTTACCTTTCCTTTGGTGTGGACAAACACTTGCTGTAGCCATCCTCTTTACCGAGAGTCTGAACTTATTACAGAGAATGCCCTTGGTAAATGTTTATGTGCACTAAATTGCCTACAATTTGACTCAATTAACGATATTGTGATTGAATATTACTCCGTATTATTTTCTTGTTTAGGTGTTAGAAATGCTGCCCAAAGAAAGCTTTTAGATGAACTGGGCATCCCTGCTGAAGATGTTCCAGTCGACCAGTTCATACCTCTGGGTCGTATGCTTTATAAAGCACCTTCTGATGGGAAATGGGGAGAACATGAACGTAAATGCTTTTTTCACTCAACTCATGTGTACCTTAACATTATTGTCATCTGCCATAGCTGTGCTTCAAAACCATCTTATTGGTATTTAGTGGCCATTTTGTCTACTATTAAAATGACTGCTTATCATTATCAACCATTTTTTCTACAAAAAAATCTTATTTCTCTTTTGCCGATTCAGCTAAATCTCTTGATGATTAAGAAGTATGTCGTTCATGAGTTGATTTTTGGTAAAAATAAAGATAAAAATACAACGAAATCGATACTTGCTGCAAATAAAATACTTCGTAATTCACGAGTCACTTAGTTGAAATGTTTAGAATGAAGAGGTCTTTCAGATGTTACTGCATATTTTTTTCTTCATTTTCTTAACAAATATCTTCCCGTACATGTTTAGTCGATTAAGCTTATTTTGTCATTTAAGTTAATTCTTGATTTTTTAATGCTCCCATACCCTGATAAAATTCCGTCAATTGAGGCACTGGGATACTGTTGTTGTTGCTGTATTGAGTCATTTAAAACTCTTAGGCTCCGTTTGGTACACGGAATTCAAATTATGGAATTAGAATTGAGGACTTCAATTCCAATTCTGGTGTCTGGTAGTACAAAAATTGTGTGGATTTGGAATTGATAGTGCAAAAAATGAATTGAAATTGGTAGAATTCAATTCTATGGAATTGAATCTAATGAAATTTCAATTCCAATTCAATTCCAATTCCGTCAATTCCGTATACCAAACGGACCCTTACTGAACATTGTCCTTATTTTGGAGTTCATCAGCTCCAAAATGAAAAGCCCGGGCAATCAAAATACTTCTTTCAAAGGCAAAACCAGCACTACTTGAGTGGGAATCATCAAGTGCATTTCATAGTGTTTTTTCCAATCACACCGTTAATACATACTAAGAGTGTGGTGGCTTTGTTGTTGCTGGTGTTCAGTGGACTACCTTCTCTTCATCGTGCGGGATGTGAGCGTGCATCCGAACCCCGATGAGGTGGCCGATGTGAAATACGTGAACAGGGAGCAGCTGAGGGAGATCGTGAGCAAAGCGGACGGCGGCGGGGGCATACACCTGTCCCCTTGGTTCCGGCTCGTAGTCGACAATTTCCTATTCAAATGGTGGGACCATGTGGAGAGTGGGACTCTGAATGAAGCTGTGGACATGAACACCATTCACAAGTTGATCTGAACAGGTTCATGCATGCACTCTTTTGTTTGTTTGTTTGTTTTTTTCCCCTTCTGCTGTGGTTTTGGCCTTTGTAAGCTTGAATAATAAACTATCCTCTTTATGTGCTTTTACTTTCATGCATCTGTAGAATATCACTTGTTTTAGACTCTTTTTTTGTTTTTGTTTTGGAATTGATGTTCCACAATAACAAATGCCCGGCCTTTACCTATTCTTATCATCTACATATGAGCAATACATTACTCAATAATACAACGTACAATTTCGGTAAAGTTGCAAAGGCTACTAGTGCCATCTAGAACTAGTATTTTCAACAATGTCTTTGCTTTCGCATAGCAAAAAAAAATTATCCAACAAATTAAATGATCATGATTGACATTGCCCTTTAATAATAGTCATATCGAAACATAAGACTATTAGGAATTATCTTCTTTTAAGACTTCAAGAATAATTTAAGATTAGATAGTACCAAATTTATTTGAGCTATGTAAACATTCTTCCCGATATTGTTTTCTTATACTCATTTGAGAAAAAGACTTAATTAGAAGTTAAATATTATAAAGAAATCACCAAAATACGAGTACCATCTTTTAATTCTTAAAATAAGAGTTACAATGTCAATAGTACCAACATGTAATACCAAAAAATACTATGGAATGCCAATATATAATGTCATATTGTCACATGGCAAACTCTTTTTTGGGATTAAAAATATGATGCCTTAAAAAAAACTGGAATCATTGGATTAACATGGTATCCTTAAAATAATAATGGAATCATTGGATTAGAAAAAGATCACATATCTCATCATCATGAAACACAACTTCCATTAACTCCACATTTCTTCCAAAAGGATTAACATGGTAGACACGTACAACTCGTACATGAATAGCAATGCTTTTTTGGTCCCTTTGGAGGTTTTCGAGATTGGTAAATAGTCCCCGAAAAACGCGTTTGGGAGCCATATTGAAATGAAAATATTAAGCTGAAAATTTCGAAGAAGATGGTTTAGATTTGAGAAATGGTTAGGTAAAGAAGGCTTTTTAAATAATTGTTTGTATGGAGTGGGGAGAAATAATTATTTTTTTTTTGGGAACATTTCAAAAATACGGCCAAGCCGTCAAAAGCAATTAAACTCGTCTCCCAATGTTTTTTTTACACGCATGAATACCAAGAGGCGGCCAAGCCGTCAAAAGCAAAAATACGGCCAATGCTTCTTTTAATGCATTAAAAAAGGTGATGTTTTAAAAGCATACAATTTCGTTTCCCAAAGCCTTCTTTAGAAGCTTGGATAACCGAAAATAATAATTGCTTTTTGCCAAAGAATTGGATACCCGACCGTACACCCGAATATTAATTGGACAGTGTTTCTCTTTTACAAAATTGGATACCCGATTATTAATGCCCTACTTGAACACCCAACCCGAACCCATGCCCTTAAGCAGGAAAATGTACTAGTTCATTTTCCCCCCCTGAGCTTTGTATATTAAGAGATTATTATTACTATTATATTATTATTATTATTATTATTATTGTTGTTGTTGATGATGGTGTAAATTATGGACCGGTATATCGTTTTTAGCCGGGCAAAAACGATAAACTAGTCTAAAAAATACACCAAAATATAAACACAGGAATTTTGACATGGAAACCCAAATCGAGAGAAAACCACGAGCCTTCTTTGGCGGTACCTTGCCAACGTAGGATTTTATTAATATCGGAGATTGTACACGGTATATGATTTGGGCTCGGAAACCATTAATGGAAGCTTGAAGCTTCTTTGAAGAAATAAAACACATAAATCTAGAGAGAGATTATTTGAGAGAGATAGTGGTGAGAGAAGAGAGCCTCCCTAATATTGGGGGCAAACCCTATTTATATGGAAAGAGGGAGAGCATATTCAGAAAATATTCTTTTATTCCTCCATTTTATTAAACAGGCTCTGATTGATTATTTTTCGTAAATAATTAGAAAATGCAAGCCGAGCCACGTATTATTTAATTTCCCATCAATTGTGATTATTATTATTACTAGTATTATTATTCTTATTATTATGAAGTATTATTATTATTATTATTATTACTCACCTCATCATTGTCTTCCGCAGCTGTCACTCGCTTCCGCTTTGCATATTGAGCTGCGTTGGATTGTTGCTACACGTACTAGAATAATAATAATAATAGTAGTAGTAGTAGTGATAGTAATAGTAATTGTAATCACAATAATAATACTAATACTAATAATAATAACAATAAAGAGAAAAAAGATTTTCTAGAGTAAGTTTTGGATATTTTAGAATATCTCAGAGTATACTTATAAAAATGATTGGATCTGAAAATTATTTTTATAAAATTGGAGGCACTCAACAACAATTTTTTAGAATAAAAGATAAAGAAAAGATAAAAGGAGAAAATGAATTCCCCTTACCCGGCTATTTTGTTGTACCCATTAAAAATGTAGCATGTCCTCAGTAAAATGACTTGAGTTCTCAGCATCTGCCTGCAATGGAGACTGCGGTGGTGCGCAACCGCTTAGCACCGTCGCATATGTCGCTTCCGCTCAGTGACTGTAGAGGAGCCACGTTCGCTAAAACTATACATGTGAAAACATCTTCCATCAGCGCTACACGATCGATTCATTCCCAATTCCAGATCCATCCGCAAAAGAGACTCCACACCCGACTAAGCATCGATTCGGGGCTTTCTTCGAGTGCTTCACTCCATTCCAATATCTCATCTCCATCTTCCTGTAAGTATCTTCCGCATTTGATTGGAATTGTTCATTGCGTCCCAATGAAAGTCTTATTGAGAGGAAATTCAATCTTAAAACCACATGCATAAGGTTGTTGTACTTACACTGCAATTTAGTTAGCAATTTCTTTATGGTCAGTGAGCATATAAGTTTTGTTTGGTGTGTAATGGTAGTGCACTTAGTGAGCAACTCTTTCATGAATACTTAATACATAGCTTTCATTTAGCGAGCAATTCATTTTTGGTTCTTGACCATATATGTCTCAACTCATATGTGACATAACTTCCATTTAGTGAGCAATTCATGATTACCTAACACATAACTTCCATTTAGCACGCAATTCATTTCTGGTTTTTGAGCATATAAGTCTCCATGGAAAAATGGATGTACCGTGTTCTTGTACAAATGGTTGTATGATAGAACCACTCCTTTACAGAACATACTTTCTCGTACCTATTGTCATGTGTTTGATGCATGAGTTGTTCAATCTCTTCTTCTATCTGGCTTATCTGCTACTTCCAATTTGAATTTTGATATTGTCATGGGTGTACTGTATCGGTATTAGCATGAAGTAATGCCATACATGGCTCTATTGCAGGTGGCTGCACCGTGCTGTTTTCCAGGCACGAGGAAGGAGCAATTGGTAGCAATGGAACAACTAGGGAATGGGCTATGCAAGGTAGCTATGTGTTCCAACTTTTCAACTACTTATCTGTTTTATCTGTTGTGAAATTTATTTGTTTCATTGAAGTATCTCAGAGGCTTTGATGGTTGGATAACAGATTTCTATGCTTTAAGAAAAGATGTTGAGCTGACCTCACGCCGTGTTGAAGAAATTAGGGCATCTGTGGGGCTGCAGCAACGTGAAGAAGACATTGCAGCTCTAGAAGCTGCAGCGGCAGATAGCTCTCTCTGGGAAGATCCTGCCAGAGCTCAACAGACGCTTCAGGCTCTGACTGATGCCAAAGAGAAATTGAAACTTCTTGATGGTTTCATGACACAGGTTCACAGTTATCATTCTTCTGTTTTCATATCCGGTGTTGCATAGTTACTGTCTATCAATTCATGCTAAAGTACTGCCACCCCTCACACTGAGTGAGAAGTGAGAACGATAGGTAGCTGCATTGTTTCTTCCTAAAACAGTGGGATACTCACAGCTCAACAATGGCAAAAGAATAGCTAGATATTTCTATCTTTTTCATGGTGTGAAATTCTTTGCACTTACTCATTGGCCAACAAATGTAGTGTCCTCGGGGTTGAAGAAAATAGTTGTGTGGTACATAAAGTGAGGCACACTCAATTTCCATTTTCCAAGGCATTCATCTAAGTATTAGCCGTAATATCCTATGGAGTTTCTTACTACGAGTATGAGGGAGAATAGATGGTACCAAAGGAAGCACAAGGAAGACATATAGGATGCTAGGGGAGTAAGGAAGGAGAATTATTCACTCTAGCATCATCACTATCCTTATTCTAGTCTGGATCAAAGGTTTTTTAATTCGTAAACTCTTTCATTTTTTATCAATATAATTATGTCAGGGTTAGATGCATGTAGTTTGTAGTTTTAGTTGCTAAAAATCAGTTAACATTAAAATCATGCAAAAGTATAGTGAGTAAGTGGTACAGTGGGTGCTCACCATGTCACAACCTTCTCAGCAAGGAATAATGAAATTCCAAGATTGTCATCATCATAGGATCTTTTCACTTGCCATCACCAATATCACATTGCGGATTGCTACTGTAAAATCAACATAAACACGTTATGGAAAATGAATATCCTGTTCTTCTTCGATATTTCTCTGACCACTTCTTTAGTTCTTTCGTTATGAAAATCTGTGTTTAAACACTTTACAGTAGAGGAATATGCTTAACTTTGTGTGTAACACAGTTTCCCAAGTGTTTTCTGTTTCTCTCTTGCACCTATTTGACATCTAAAACATGGAATCACAGATCATGCACTCCACCGAATTATGTTTAGAACATTTTTATCTTCAAAATCTAAAAATAATATTTGTGACAACATTTAATGTTTTGGGGTTTTCAGTCTTAATCTGCTTCACACAGTAACACCAGAAATAATCTAGTAGCAGTACTCTAGTAGCAGATGTGGTGGATATTAAATGGTTGGTAGGCATATCGGGTGAACTATAGGATTACATTGGCTTATCTGGTTCAAGGACGGACCTATCTAGGATGTTGTCGTGGAAATATATTTGAGATTAGCAGCATTGATTGGCTCAATTGGTTGCTGCACTGTTTCTGCCCATAACATAGGGTTGCTCACATCTCGATAATGGAAGAAGAATACTTAGATATGGCCAGTGCTAATCAACAACAACAACAACAACCCAGTTAAATCCCACAAGAGTAGGGTCTGGGGAGGGTGTGTGGACGCAGACCTTACCCCTACTCGAAGTAGAGAGGCTGTTTCCAAAGAGACCCTCGGCTCAACGTCGAAAGTTGCATTGCTTGACTAACTGCTACTTCATTAACTAAAGAAGCGCAGACAGTTTAGAGATCCATTTTGATTTATTCCATCACACCCCAAAGCCAAAAAATGGTGAAATTTTGGCTCCATCGGAGATGATGGAAATAGGCCAGTGCTAATCCATGGTGCAAAAATCTTTGCACTTAAACATCCAAGACATCAAATTTAGTGTCATTGGAATTGATGAAGAACCTATTAGTTTAGTATATAAAGAAGGATACACTCAATTTCCTAGACATTAGCTGTAATCTCCTATTGAGTTTCTTACGACGAGGGACAATAGCTGGTTTTAAAGGAAGCACAAGGAAAGCAGATAGGATGCTATGAGAGTAAGGAAGAAGTACTGAAGCACTTTCCTTATCTTTTCCTATTTCTTGTGGGAACCAAAGATTTTTTAATTTATATACTCTTTGATTTTCTATTCAAAAGGTGGTACAAAGGAATGGATAAAGACCAGCTTGGTCTTTCTTTCTTCTGACAGTGATGTCTCATTGGAAAATCATATGGTGCAAAATCAATACTTTGCACCAGATGCAAACCATAGTATGATGATAAGGCCAAGAGATTCACACTCTGCTTAGATCGGCATCATCATCCACCATCCACCTTAATCCAAATTATGCCAGAGTTAGATGCATGCAGTTTTTAGTTTCAATTGCCCAAAATTAGTTTTCACTAAAATTAGTTTTGATTTATTATTTGAAAAAATAAAATATTCTTATCACATCTTGTTCTGTAGAATTTTTGACGTAGTTTTTAAATATATGAGTTTTGTTTTTAATTTCTATACCAATCTTTAAATAAAATTGATTAAAAAACTTGACGTTTTGCTTCGTTTTGCGTAAAGTGAAACATTTTGGGACGGAGGGAGTAAGTAATTGGAATAAGTTGAAGAGAAGTAGAGAGCAAGCTCTAAATGGGAGAGTGAAATTGCCGCTATCAATAACGAAATTGGTGGGTTAAGCCGAATATAAAAAATGCTTAACAAGGGAATTCGCATATCTTCACATACGAAAGCTGGACCCTTTTTTTGCTCACCAATCACCATACATTAATTCTAGAAATTCTATGTCTGAGATATCCAAACCTATATCGGTTTCGCTCACCAAATACACACTCATTCACATTTGATTTTCTTGTGTGACGTATACTGTATGCATAAAGAGAATTATAGTCAAGTTGGATCGTGTTAGATTCGTCTCAATATTAATTTCCATAACATTAACTTTTTATAATTTTTACCAAAACACTATTGAAGATATTAATGATTTACTTTATGCAATGGCAAACATGAAAACCTTGATGTTGCATTTATTTAAAAATAGAGGAAGTATATTATTGACAACATTTACTTTATGCATTGGCTTTAAAAAAAGTAATTATTGACACATTTAACGTTTTGGGGTTTTCAGTCTTGACCTGCTTCAGAGAGTGACACCAAAAGTAATCTGGTAGTAGTACTCTAGTAGCGAGGTGGTTGATATGATTAGTTGGTAAGCATATCGGATCTCGTTCAAGACTTCACCTATCTATGATGATATAGTGGAACTTTTTTTTTAGATAGCAGTATTAAATGTCTCAATCTTCCTGTATGTATTTCTTTTTATATGTCTGACTGTCTCACTATCTGTTTTTATTTGTGTACGTGGCCTTACTTTTTCTGATGAACTTGAATAGTACAAAGTATTTTCGTAGCTTGACTTGTGAAGTGGAACTCAAAGATCATGTTAAATTCGTATTTGCAGGTTGGTGATGCAGAAATGATAGTTAAGCTTACTGAGGAGATGGAATCCATTGATACAGGTCTTCTTGATGAAGCTGCTGGCATTCTTAAGGAATTGAACAAAGCATTGGATAAATTTGAGTTGACTCAGCTTCTCTCTGGTCCTTATGATAAAGAAGGTGCTGTTGTTACAGTTACAGCTGGCGCAGGGGGCACTGACGCACAGGTAACAAAATAATACAGAGTACTATGATATTATGGAAGGATCACAGGTTCTCTTCTTATTGGATTCTAATATTTACTAGTTTTAACCCGTGCTTTGCACAGACTCGTATATGTCTGAAGTTTTAACTTTTGTGAAATACATATGATATATGCTATATGAATATTTTGTATATCTATTAGATATTTAGATACGATAATCTTCTTATGGTAGAATAAAAGATATCTCAATATTTAACTGAACTAGTTAACTTTTTTATTTTCAATTCCATTCTTTATTTTATTTAACAAAACGTTAAAAAAGATATCAAGCAAGCCTTAATAAATTAAATTTATGATTTTACGCGTACTATTTTACTAAATTTCTTTCTCTTATTTATAATCTATATTTTTTAAAGTCTGATCTATCCGACCGACAGATCTAAGTTGAAAAGTGCTCTCTTGAATATGCCTATTAACACTTAGGGGCTGTTTGTTTCAGCCTCTTAATGGTTCAGATGTCTGAATGGTTCAACACTTAATGGTTCAGGCTGTTTGTTTCAGCCTCTTAATGGTTCAGATGTCTGAATGGTTCACACATTTGCCTCTGAATGGTTAAGTATTATACAGAGTCTGAATGGTTAAGACCTCTTATCTGAACTGATCAGACATTTGCCTCTGAATAGTTAAGCAATATACTAGCTCTTAATGGTTCAGACCTCTTACTGGTTCAGACCTCTTACTGGTTCAGCACTTACCTATTCAGAAGTTGCCAAACAGCCCCTTACTACTATTAAAACTTAGTAGTAAAAAAATTGATAAGTATTATTATTATTATTAGTGTAGAAAGTAAATCTTTTGTTAAAAAATTCAAGAGTAAATTCTATAATTGGTCCTTTATAACAGGGAGGTTTCCCTATTTAGTCTTCTATTATCAAATATTACCCAAGTGGTCCTTCTTTTATGGGTACCTTTCCACAAATAGTCGTTTTTTGCTCTTTTATCATGTTGGTGTTAATTTGAGGGCTAAAAGTGTAATTTCACAATGATAATATATCTTTTTTGTCATACACAACTCCAAAGGCTGTTCTGTTTGCGTCGTTTGTGAATTACAGTCGCTTTTTACGACAACTATAGTCTACAATTGTGATCTTTCGTCAGAATCCTAGCCCACAATCATAGTCATTATTTTTGTGTTATCCGCTTAACCAATATCAGAACACGTCACTAGACATAATGTTGACGTCAAATTATACTTTTAGCCTTTAAATTAACACCAACACGGCAGAAGATAAAAAAAGACCATTTGTGGAAAGGTACCCTTAAAAAAAGGACTACGGGGGTAATATTTGATAATAGAGGACTAAATATCGAAACCTCCCTGTTATAAAGGACCAATTATGGAATTTACTCAAAATTCAATGTACAATTCTTATTTAACTTTGATAATTTAAATCTTTCAAGGGAGAGAAAAATATGAAAAAGCTATAAAAAGAATTGAAACTTAAATCATTAATTGTTTAAGTACATAAAAGTGTAATTTAAGTCATTAACTATTTCTATATTTGAAATTAGTTTAAGCCATAAGTTTTCTTAAATATGATACTTACATCTATTTAGTGATGAAAAAAATAAAAGGATAATATTAAAATGTAATTGAAACAAATAACCATAAGGGTCCGTTTGGTATACGGAATTGATGGAATTGGAATTGAATTGGAATTAAAATTCCATGGGATTCAATTCCATAGAATTGAATTCTGCCAATTCCAATTCATTTTTTGCACTATTAATTTCAAATCCACATAATTTTTGTGCTACCAAACACCAGAATTGGAATTGAAGTCCTCAATTCCAATTCCATAGTTTGAATTCTGTGTACCAAACGGGGCCTAACAAAAGTTAATTTTACAAATTATTTATCTTAGTGATATAAAGTATCACTAAATTTCAAATTGCTATGAACTATGAAGTAATAAGAGATATCTAAAAGATTATTTCTACCTCTATTCCAAAATAAAAGACATTTCAGGATGGTTGACTGTACTTATTTTTATTTTAACTTATACTAAAAGAATTTGAAAATTTGACAGACTGCATTATTTGGTTAACTTAATATGTAAAGAATCAAGATTTAATTTGATCTTATGAATAGTAATTTTGTCTTTTATTTCGGGGATGTTTGCGACGGATGAAGTAGTATTCTAGAATTTACCAAGGATATACATAAAATTTTTATAAAAACAACTTTTAAAATTTTAAAAGAGATAATTACTTGTATTTTAAGTGGTCAGTATAGGGAGTTATAAAATTTACTAAAGTCATAGTGGGAAATGTTAAAATAATGAAGTTTCATAAAGCTAGAGCATTAAAGGCAATTAAATTAACATAACAATGATACCACTGAAATAAAAGAAACTCTACTGTGTGTGTGTGTGTCCTTCCACGTATTTCGTTTATGCTTTTCAACTATAGTGTAACAGCAATAAAAGTTTGCTTGCCCATCATACTTGAACATGTGGTACCTTCAAATGTACAACTAAGATATGAGTGCATTATACTAGATCTTCCATCCCATTTTATTGTGCCTACTTTGATTTGTCCGAAGATTAATAAAGTGAAAATAGTTGGTTGAGATTTATGTGGATGAGAAACAAACAATATGAACCACAATTATTTCTATAAACAGAAACATGCATGATAAATTGGGACATACCAAACACTATAACATGCCTGATAAATTCGGACCGAGGGAGTATATCATTATGAAACAATGAAACTCATTATGAAACTGAATCTTTTTGAGAGATGTCTTCATAACTGTTGATTTGAGTATGAATTCATCAAGAACCTGATGAAGCTAGCAAGAAGCTAAAATGAAGAAAGCAACAAGAGGATCAAAAAAAGAGGAACTGATTAACAGAGAGAGAGAGAAAGAGAGAGAGAATGATCTTGATACTATGTTGATTAGCTTACTTTAAGAAAGAAAACTAAGATATCCTATATCTTTACCAACGATAACTTATCATCTAACTGTTTAACCATGGGCTCCTGAAAGCTAGGAGGAATTTACAAGCTGGGAAGGCATTAACAAAGAAAATCCCTTTCAAATGTATATATTATTCATACACCTTGGGAAGTTTATAAGCAAGCAAGTACCTGTTGGAGTCTCCTCCTACTCCATTCTTTGTGAGATATTTCTTGTGTCAGTTTGTGATTTTTTTGATGAACTCCAGTGCAGGATTGGGCTGAGATGCTTCTCAGAATGTATGTGAGATGGGGAGAGAAGCAACGCTACAAAACAAAAGTAGTCGAGCAATCACCTGGGGAGGAGGCTGGGATTAAGTCAGCCACTATCGAATTTGAGGGTCGATACGCATATGGTTATTTGTCTGGAGAGAAAGGAACCCACCGTATTGTGCGACAATCCCCTTTCAATGCTAAAGGCCTACGCCAGGTGACCATAATATGTATTAAATCTGCACCTTTTGTTGACTCAGATGTTACAGTGTTGTGTTTGAGACCTTTATGAACCAGTACCCTGCACATTCCTGGAACTACCATTATAACGTGGTAAAGCAAATATACTCCCTCCGTCCCAAAACAGAGTCCTATTTGAGTAAGGAGGTATAACTTTATATTTTTAGTAAACTCAATCAAGTTACAAGCTTTTACGAGCTATGAGTGATTGAATGGTCACTTATACTCCGGAAACTTAGTTGAGAGATTGTTTGGATAAATTGACTAAAGGTAGACCTGGCAAAACTGACCCGGACCCGATAACCCGAACCGAATAACCCGGAACCGAACCCGATTTGACCCGAAAACTGAAGAACCGAAATAGAACCGAACACCCGAAATGATCCGAACCGAACCGAATCCGAACCGAATGTATTTAGACCCGTTTCAGACCCGAATCCGATTAAACCCGAACCTATTAAACCCGAACCGATTAAACCCGAACCCGGTTAAACCCGGAACCGATTAGACCCGAACCCGATTAGACCCGAAATTGATCAAGTTCATTAATATTTCATTTATCAAATGAATTTGGAGAAAACGAATTACCTATATATTTTTACATATGTTGATGTGTTTCTAAAAAAACATATTTAAATTATGGGTGCAAACCATGTAACTACTTTCATGTACAAATCTTTTACTTTGCATTTTATAACTTAAGTTAAAATACTTTTGTATTTTTATAGAAAGTATATAAAAATTATAGTTAACTAAATTAACTAAATTTATTATGT